TCTCATTAATACATTTATGTCTGATTATGGTTCCCATAATTTTTAATGTAGCACATCAGGTAGTTCTTTGTACAAACACTGGAAAGGTGGGGGGTTTTATAATTGTTTTTGTTTGTTTTAAATAAATTAATTTATCTGGAGATACCTCATTCGTGTAAAATGTTGGATCATGTGAACTTAATTCAAGGCCTTGACCTTTATTTAAAAGAAATTTAAAAAAAGCTGCATAATGTTTCATAGAAACAATTCACATATTTCATAAGAGTTTTACAAAATCTTAATGTGTGAAGTGGTCACTTTATTATGTTTTGTAACTTAAAACATTTAACTTCTTGAGTAGAGTTGGGTTCTTTTTTCTTCTGCAGTATTGCTCATGCAGGAAAGAAGGACATTATGCAGAATTTAACCTGTCATTTAAGTTTATCCATAATTCAGATTCATTTGATAAACCCTCATGGGCTTTAATGGAGTGAAGAAGAACTGCTGTGATCAGTGTTAAGTTATATAATCACCCACATTTTCTCACTTGGATTACTGTGGACTTGAAAGTAATTAATTGCTTTTCATAATAGAATACAACATTTCTATCCATAAATGCGGTGGGGCTTTTTTGATGCCAAGGGTTTAATTTTTTTTTTCCCCCTGAACAAGACCTGATTCCTGCTTTTCCATGCTCTGAACGCTCTCATGGTATATATTTCCTTATACCAGATTGCATAAGTGTTAAGAATTCAGAGAGCAGAATACGGGATTGAGTTTTTCATCTCCCACTTACTGATTTGAAAGTTTAGACTGGCTGGGCAACCTGGAGAACAAAGAATTGGGAAAATAGTCTTGAGCCAGTGCTCAAAAATGCAAATAAGATCACTTGGGTAACTGCTGACTAAAATTGTGGTCAGATAAAAGTACGGAAATAATGATGTACAGTTGAGTGAAAAAAGAATAAAATGATCATAGAGTAACTAATGCAAAGTATAATGATTTGAAATAAAATGTTTTATTAAGTAGATTTAAGCATATGTAGTTAATTGAGATAGGTTTCTTAAACTTGTAAGTCAGTGTACTTCTGTGTTTAATGTGATTCTTAAAGCTTTCAACTGTGTTACCTGGAGGTCAGTGAAATGGGAGGCTAATCAACAGTTTGATGTTGATGCAGTAAACTAGTTTACTTAATGTAAAGGATTAATGTAGTAACACAGAAGGATTTTTTACAGAATGTGATACCACAATCCTAGCTTTAAATGCAAGTAGAATTCCTTTCCAAAGTTATGAAAACTGAGTACTTTAACCCTTTAAAAATCTCTGTCTGGTTTAATACCTTTTGTTTGAACCTCCCACACTAGTCCAGTGTCCGGACTAGTTACTGGTAGCTTTAGGAAGACTAAAGGTTTGGTATTTATGCTTAGCATTCCGTCCATGCCTATCCCTTTGAAGAGATCTCCGTGTTTTTCTTTTTGTTGGTTCTTGAGACTTGTTTGGGGAAAACACAAGTGTCTGTAAGAGGGGGAGAGCAAATCTTGAGTTTAACCTGGGAGAGTCTGTTTTGTCTTTGTTGCAGATTTGGTTCAGCTTTGCTCCTTGCTTTGATGCTTCAGCTGCTATTATTGTAAAGCTTCCTGGTATCTGCAAATAACTTTAGAACTGTGAACCTGAAGTATTTGTAACACTGATCTGTGGTTCCAGTACATAACCTGGAAGTAAAATTCAGGGAGGCGACATTTGTTTTGGAATAGTCTGTATTGACCTGCCACAAACTCCTTGTCAAGTGTCAGATTTGTTTGTTTTTAATGCAGGGAGTTTGGACTACATTCCATCTTTTGAGTGGGCAGTTTCTACTTCGGGCCACCATCCGTTAGCTGACCTTAATCAGTTTAATAATAGTCAGTTGCAGTTTTAATAAACTTTTTAACAAAAATTGTCTGCTCAGCTGCTAAGAGGTGTGGGGAGTTACTGGACAAACAGCAATATATATTTACCTGGAAATATTGTAGAGAACATACTTCATTATCAAGGTGTAGATCACCAGATATTGTAGGATGTGCTCTTTTTTTTTTTTAATTGCCTTTTGTTCATCTCTAGTTAATGCAGCTTTCACATTTCTTGTAATGGAGCTAGCCACATTAATACACTGATATATTTATTTTGAAATTACAGACTTAAATTTTATTGCAACTATTTGGACTATTTTCTCATCTGTACAGTATTGCATGATTTTTGCTCTTTTTTTTTTCCCCATTGAAGACATCACTTGTCTTATATCTCAGTGCATTAATTTGATTTTCCTTTGTAGCAGTCTGTATGAAAAGAAAGCTTTTTGCTTAATTGAGGCCCAGAGCTCAAACATGTATGCTTCTGGAGAGAAGTTGAGGGGGGACACCATGAGTAAATTTGTGACTCACCTCTAGAAGCCTTTAGAAAAGGCCATTCCCTTCTGCTTATTCATTGATATTACCTTTATCTTCTGGTCATTAGTCTCAGTGGCTTTACAGAGCAGTATAAGTATATATATAAGTGTATATATATATATATAAGTGTATATATATATATATATATATATATATAAAAAAGTATATGTATAAGTATAAGCAGTATAAGATTTTTGTGACTGCGGACTTTCATTCACCGGTGTATTGTTTATGGATAATTTGACAAATTGTGAAGCTATGGGATAATTCTACAAAGCTGTCTTTGCACAGAGCATACTGTTTCTAGAATCAGATGAAGAAGATGAATTGAGGGGAAAAAAAAGAGTTTTTGTCTCTTGATCAGTGGTGAAATACTTCTAGTAAAGCTTGATAGCATGTCAAATGTTACTTTTTCCACTCCAGTTTCATAGTAGTAGCAGAGGATGAACTTTCACCAGTAGACTTCTTTTTTGTTTGAACAAAATATTTGGAAAGCCACCCTCTCTGGTTACATGTTTGGAAACATAAGTAATGTGGTGTTCACTAATGCTAATGAAACCTTAGCAGCAAATGAGAGCTTTGTGGACTAAAGAGCCTAAGTAGGACAGCAAAGGCTTTGTTGTGCTGTGTGCTGAAGGAAGTCACTTCTCCTTAATGGTATTAAATGTTGACTTCATGCCAGAAGCACCTTTTAGAAACTTCTTTTGGATGCTAGGTTAATTTTGTAGGAGTAATTACAAAAATGAGTGAAATATAAAAAAGAAATTCTTCTTGAGATTGATATATTTTTATGCATATTTGCAACTGTGTTTTGACACTGCAGCATGGTAACTGTCTCCTTCTTCACACACTCAAACAAAGCACGTACAACTTTTTTAAAAACAGTAGCAGGAACGTCACTTTATTTGACAAAAGATTAGAGTGGAAGTGTCCAGTTGGCGTAAAGTAAGACATAAGAACAATACATTAAAATCTTGTCTTTAGTCCCTTTCCTGTCTCTTGGGTGTTTATGTGGTTCTCTGGTCCAACAGATTAGGGAAGGTGTTTGTGATTTTGGTGGAGAGTGTGATACAGAGGCTGGAGCAGAGGCTGGTGGTGGAACAAGATGGATATTTTTGGTTGGCAGTACTTGCATTACCATGGGACTGAAGTGTTCAAGGCACTAATGGCAGTGGTTGTTAGTCTGTGGTGTAGGATACAAAGACCTGCAAGGCAAGATTTGAGAGCAACCTTAATCCTGTTCTTTTCATTTGTGTTCTTGTTGGTTGTGTATGTAGTTGTGTTGATGTGGTATCTCTTTACGTGAATGTCTTTTTCTTGAGTCTTAAGCCCTTCAGCATTTTATGGCATTTTTTGATTTAACTTTAGATCATCCTACTGCATGTTGAAATTGACCTTAAATTGCTAATGCTAAAGGTTGACATCATTCATTAGGTTCAGGCAAATTACTGAATCTGCAAAACATAGCCTCTGATAAACACCTTTTGCAGTTTTTTGTGTGAGTTAAATAAACTTTGAGCCTTACTGCTTTTCTTTTTCTACTTTTTATTTTTTAAATTTACTGTGAAGTGTATTTGGATTCAGCATATATAGGACACAAACTTTGATGTTACAGTTACTTGTCTTTTTGGATTACTAAATAACTATTAAAAGAATTCATTATAAATGCTGTTGTAAGCTGAAAGTCCTTGATTTTTCCACTGTGGTAGATTTTTTTTAGTATAAAATGTGAATATTCATTAGACTAAAATGTCTGCTGGGCTGTATTTTGTACCTTTATTCACTCCTGCCTAATTCTTAATCCCTATATTTCCACTTTTTTTTTTATTTCAATTTGTCCTAATTTGTGTATCCTCCACCTGTTGATCAGTACAGAATACAGTGAAAGATTGGTTTCCAAGATGTTTAATGTATTAAAAATACCCCAACTTTTTTTTTTGGAAGTGTTAATTTATTTTTTAAACTCTTTTTCCTCTGTGTTTTGTGCCCTTGCTTTACTATAACTTTCTTAATGGCTAAGGACAGGTTCACTTTCTTTGGAATCTCCTTCTGGAGCTGATCATGAGCTGTATATATAGTTTTGATTTAATAAATGTTTTTGATGTGCAGGTTACGCCCAATTTAGTCATGCAGCTATAATTTCTATTATTTTTCTTTCAGTGGGTAATCGTGAAAATAGTTTTTAGTATCCAATGAAATTATAACTTCCTGCATTTTAAAACTGCCAAATCTCTGTTTACCTAGTACTGGTCTATGGTTATGTGTGTTGTCTTGGTGGAAAAGATCTACTTTTGAAATAAAGGGTTTTGAGAGAGGAAAAAAAAGACATTTGCATTGTGAAAGTGATCAAAGACTGCTTACAACTTAAAATGCAAGTATTTAGAGCTGTTTTTACAAAAAGAGGTAGATCTGTGCTTGCGTGTACAACCTGGTATATGTATGGAGACACATGACTGATTTATAACTTGGATAACATCTATCCAAGTAGCAAGCATTCCCTCACAGCACAGCTCATAAGTAAATTATGTGTAATTTTTGGTGCTGCTGTGATTCTTAACTAATTCTGGGTATTTTTGTTTCCTTTTGTTTTTAAAGGATCAGTTCGATAACTTGGACAAGCATACGCAGTGGGGCATTGACTTCTTGGAGAAATATGCAAAATTTGTGAAAGAAAGGATAGAAATTGAGCAAAACTATGCAAAACAACTGAGGTAAGGTTTTTTCTTTTCAAAAGGATCTTAACAATTACTTAAAATCATGGTATCAGACGATGGGCAAGGATGAAATGTCGTGCTTAATGACTGTTTTTCATTTACAGAGTGAATTAGATCACTAGTTGTTTTCATGACAGACCAGTCCAACACAGAAAATTATTTTTGGGTGTGCACTTGCTTGCTTGTTTTTGCCTTCTCTCCCACTCTTTCCTCCTACCCTTCAGATCTTTGAACTAAAAGGGTATAAGACTTAAAATTTAAGATTCAGAACAAGGAAAACCGTGGTAATATTTTTTTCACTGACTCTCAGCGTGTTTGTTGTAAAGTGCATTATCCTTATCTGCGTTTGTGTGTCTGTGATATCACTCAACAATATTCAAGTCTCTGCTGCTAATTAATTTCTCATGTTGAATTGGCAAGAGGTACACTACATTGTGTTAAGAAATCTGATTGAAATGATTGAGTAGTACTTGAGAAAGCAGCAGATCTTCCTGTCCTTAATGTGTGCCCTTTCCATAGCTTTTCCCTTTGGGTGAGACTGTAACCCAGCCACCCTTTGTCTTACCTCTGCAGTTAACTTTGTATTGCTGCCAAGTGAAACATCTTTTAGGTCCAGTAGGAATTTCCCTTCAGGGATCATACAAGGAGAGTAGCAGCAGTGAAATGGCAGAGAAGCACATTCTTCAGAATAAAGTAGGATTGATTTTTACCATAAGGTACACTCAGTGCTTGAAGAACAAAATTTAAGCTTAAGATGCTCCTGTGAACTTGGTCTTCACCATAATCTTTGCTTTCACTGTAAGCTTTGCTGTCTTGAATTCCCGTGGGGATTCAGCTGAAGCTGCTGCCTAGCCCTTGTCAGACTGAAACTGATAGCAGCTTCTCTCCTGTGGTTTCTTCCATCATCTCATCATTGGCAAACTAGATTGTCACCAGATAGAGAGTTGAGAAATCCTTCCTCATAAATACAGTAACGAGGTTCACTGAGGGTATGGATGTTCATGAGGCTGCTTGTAATCTTTTTTATTTCTTTATCAACTTCTTTTTGATTTCTTTATCAGTTTCTTTTGATCCAGTTGTGTATATTCACTTAACATAATAATCCATTACCTTACTGAAGGAATATTTTTCTTAAGAGGAAGGAAATAAATACCACATTTCCAAAGTTGGTGTAGAAGAAGTTCAGGAGGTAAAGAAAATTTGGAAGCGTGCACAGCACAGTTAACAGCCCAGTTTTGATTTGTTTTCAGTTATCTGTTTAAAAATAGAAACATTTTATTTGCACAGATCTATTGACATCTTGTAATTAAATAGTGTGAGCAAATGCCTTTTGCTTAATTGTATTTAAAGGTTCGTTCAACAGCTAGCAAGATGAAACACCTCATTATTACTTCAGGATTTGACTAAAAATGGGAAATTTTCTCTGTTCAGCATTTTACTAGGGGTAAAATTTTTGATTTTTCTTGAAGTGTCTTTCAAAAATGAAAGAGCTTTGTCGAGTACCCCTTCTGGCAGATGGCTGGACTGACTGTCTATGTGCAGTAAGTATGACAGTTTTGGGAAGCACAGGTCTTGCTGCACACACATTGTACAGTGCATGCATGCACTTCCTGCCTGCTGCCAACGAGGGTCTGGACAGCACACAGGGTGACTGATTTTCTGCCAGTAGACCAGTTCATGAAGCTGCTCTTCCCTATATATTCTTTGGGGGAGACTTGATTGTTTCATAGTGAACGTCTTGTGATAACAAGTTGATTTCAGCCATTGTTGCTCTTGAGGGCGTTCACCATTTTTAACCATGTAAAACAGTCGTGAGGCCCAGGGTGAGATCAAGCAACATTTTTACCAGAAGGATTAGCCATTCTGCAGCTAGCTCCTGGGAAGTTCTGATGTGGAATGGACTGTGGTTCTGGTGAACTTTAATGCTGGCAGCAGATGGCCTGTGAGATAGATATTAATATCTCAGATGGAAATATCTAGTAGATCACTGGTTTTTCCTTTTGTAATGAAATATAATCTGAAAAACTAAGTGTTGAGAATCTTTTCATAATGAACTTTGTAACTGAATTTAATTATGCCCTTGTTTAGTAGATGTATAAACAGTATGGTGAGTGATCACCTCTTGGTAGTTCTATGGCTCTCTTAGTACTTGGGTGGGAAACCAAGAAAAAACAAGTTTAATCAGGAAGATAGTGCTAGTGATGTATGCTGGTGTTGTTTTCTGTCTCTCGGGTTCAGTGTGGGCCGTGAACGTTCTGTTGAGGTCATTGATGGAGCTTATTCTTATAGACTTAAATCCAATGATGAAAGCTTGAGTGAATTTTTCATAACAGTTTTCAGTCTGTGTCCTGGCAGAAATTCATATTCACTTTGCTTATACCCTTGCATTTTGATAACTTTTTTTCTTTATACTGTCACAACTTAGTGATGAGGCTTTCCCAGGTGCAACAGCTGTTCCAAGTCTTCTAGAAGATGACAAATGATGCATGTACAGCATAGGAGGAACTGTTTGAGTGAACTCACTATATTCTTACTGTATGCAGTTATTGCAGTTTATAATTCCTGAGTAATTCCAGAAGTGATAGCTGGTGAGAATCATGTCCAAATGCTGTTTTTAGTTTACAAGTAATTCCTTGCTATTCTTCTTTGATACTGAAAAGAGAAAAATTGAAATCTTCTGTCTAGAGGGCTTATCTTGTCTTTGCAAAATACTTCGTTCTGCAAAAAGGCAACTTTAATTTAGTTTTCTTTGAATTCTCCTTTAAGTTAGATCAAAGTTTTTTGTAACATATGTCTCAACTAATGTATTATATTACCCCAAGGATTGCAAAGGTTATTATAGGCTGTTATTGAGTTACAGGGATGTGAATCAGGACAAACACATTGCAGTGTATACTGTAGATTAACACATTTCATTTTAATGATATGATTGTTTACTTTGTTTATATTTTCTGATTGGAAAAATTTAGATTTAATATGTGCCAAATTACTGGGCTCTTGGCTGAAGTTTTAAATTAAATTCTCAGATGCTGTTTTTGATCAACCTTGTTTCTTAAAATGGGCGAGGCAAAGGTCTGCTTTGTTTACTTCCACATCATCACACACAAAACAATTCTGAAGGTTCACTCCCTTTTTGTCCTGTCTGAAGCATTAAGACACTCGAGCAGACAGAGGAGCTCTTTCTGTGATGCTAGGCAGTAATACAAGTTATACCTGCACTTGTAGATGAAACTACCATGCAGAATAAAATTTCTGACTGTGGTCAGCTTCTCCACTGTCAGTTTAAAGCAAATAGCGATGATTGTTCTTGAGCTGTTTGTTGTCCATTGAAATTGTACATTGTGATCTCTGGAGGTGTCTACTTACTCTGAGAAAATTGTTTTTCATGTTCCTCCTGCATGCTATTGTGTATAAGTGGTGTTTTTCAAAATAGGGTATTAATATATGCATATGTCTAGTCAAATTGAGACGTAGTTTCCACATTTTTATATGCAGAATCTTGGAAACATTATTTAAAACGGGTGTAAACTCAAATGTAAAGTTGGGGATACAGATTATCATTGTGATAATTTCTCAAATCTCTCTTCCTTCGATTGCAACTGAGAGTTTACACTGTTGCTTATCTAAATATGGTTGTGCCAGGTTTTTTTATAGTGATGTTTCTGCAAGTCTGCATGTAGGAGTTCTCAGTGGTTCCAAGAATATTCAGTTTTGTAAACTCGAATTCCAGGTTACAATTTTTTAAGATTCATTGCTTCAGTTAAAACTGCTTCCGATGACATGTTACTAAATACAGTTGTCATTGTTTTCACTCAGTTCATAATACTGATACTTAACACCAAAGTCATTGGAACCGTATTTAAACTTTACATATAAATATGAAATGCCTTTAAGTACTCAGTGCAATTTTAGTAACTTGTGAAAGCAAAAAAAGTTTGTTCCCAAGCTCATTTGTTGTATAATATAGAAGCTGTAGAGGTTTAGTGTAAACAGATACCACAGTACCTGAACTGCTGCCTTAATAGAAATTGTATTGTTCTGATGATGCTGCTCCTGTTCTTTACATTCTCTATTAATTGATGGAAGAAAACAAAGTTTTGAGTTGATAAACACAATTTTTGCACACATCTGTTAAATTTTGTGTAGACATTTTATGTACATGACTATAAGTAATTTTAAGTTAATAACTGGAGTGCTTTTTGAAACTTCTGCCTATGTGACTGAGATGGTACTTCTCTTAAAAATCAGGTTCCTGTCTCACTGGTGTTGACCTGAGACCAAGAAGAAGTGTTGATAAAACTACAGGGGCAACACAGTTGCATGGGGTTAGTCTTGTATGAAATCTGCCTTCAGATGACTGTAAGAGACAGTGTGGTAGAACTTGTCTACATTGTACTTCCAAAGAGGATTAAAGTGTCATCAACTACACTTTTCTAAGGAAGCATAGAGCAATTAATCTTGTAGATTTGATTCCGTTCTGATGGTACACAATTACTTGTGCAGTTTTCTTATAAACTAGTTCAGATCCATATTTGGATTCTGAGCATTAGGCATGGATTTAGATAAAAATGTTAGAGAATGTTACGTTCCCTTAAAAGTGTCAATTGACTCCTCTTTGAAATAGTGCTTCACTCTTCAGATCCACGCTCACATTGGCTGCTTGTCAACCTATGCTCCTGCAAAGATTTAAATTGAATTTCTCTGTTTTTATTAAGTGTTGGCATTCACTTCCTGGAAAAGCCATTTATGCTTAATTGTTCACATGAACACTGGCTTTTTCTACGATCTTTAAATTCTGCATTTGCCTGTCTTTTCATATTTATTGCCTTTGATTATTGTATCTTGTGCTGTTATTGAACTTTAAATCCTGATCACGCAGTGTCTCAAAACTGCATGTTCCTTTGATCCCAAGGTAGACAGAATTCACTATTGAAACCGTAGGAGAAAGGATTATATAATACTTTTCTCTCTAGAAATAGTAAACAATTGCATTAAAGAATGAAAGCAGAACAGAAATCATCATGCCAGTAAATAATCTATATTTGTGACCCTTCCCTCATTTATTTGTGACCTTTCTCTCTCTTTAAACTATATGGATTTAGTAAGTCATTACTTTTCTCATTTTTAACAACTCTGAAAACCTTCCTGTGAAAAGGCTCATGTGTGGTTGCTTAGCTACAGCATTGTATGTGTGTTATGCATTTCACTGTCTGAATAATAATAAGGTGAATTTTAGGAGTTTCCTATTCGTTAATAAGCACTGAGAAGCAAAGCAGAAATGTAAGGGAAAATGGAACACAGAAAAGTTACTTAGTGAATATTATTGGGTTTTTTTCTATTACTCAGGTTTATGCATTTTCCTATCAAAATGTCTGCCTTCAATCACTTACCAAGTAGAATGTTACAACAGGCAGTGGATTCTGGTGATAGCGAGAAGAGATTCTTGCTTGAACATCAGTAAGAAAGTTACTATAAAATGTGTAGACAATTTTTAAAAATTCAGTGTTTATTCTGTTTCTTAGTATATTTTGATATGAAGAGGATTTGTCTTGTCATAGTTGCTTTTTTGGTTGTAGTCTCAGAGGGTATGGACAGAGGGTCTGAGCTTGCTATTTCCACACCAACTCCCTGCTCGTATTTTGGTATATACTTCATGGCTGGACATAATCTCACTATGTGTACTCTTGTATTGTAGAGATGACTTCCAGATACATGGATTTGAGAAACTGCACAAGGTTATTTTAGATGAAAGCAAAATTAGCACCCATGTTTTAATGGTAAGGTAGTTCATAGTTTGTAACAACTAAAGTTACACGGAGACAGTGGGATAAGGTACACAACATTACATGACAGATTTTTTCTCCTAGAATCTTCTCTTACTCCTCCTTTCCTCTTTTTTTCTGCATTTTATGATAAGTAGATTATTTCATATCAATGTTATCAGAAATTGGACTGTGATACTGTGTTAAGTGCTGGTCCTATGGATTGTCTTTTAGAGATTTGCTTGGTCTGTAAAAACATGGTATTTGCAACGCTGGTGGTAGGGCAAACTGTAAAATCTTTTTTTCTGAAAAGAGATGTTGCCTCTTCTGTTCTGGAAATGTCCTTTATTGAAGTTTTGGAGATTCTATGGTTAAAACTATCGACCTGAATCTACATTTAAAGTTGAATTCAGACATGGAGTTTTGGGCTCACGGGTACAGCATACAGTGTGCACTGTCTGTATGTTACACAGTGATCATACATTTGCTTTGTTCTTGTCTGCAAGCTGCTTCTGCATGTGTGCAAATGATGTTAAATAAAGAACTCGTTATTTTATGTCTAATCACTGTGCAATAGAGATTTTAAAATATTTTTATATTGTTCTAGGTTGAAGTGACTTAGAACATTGAAAATGCCATAGATTTCTGTCTTGTGTTATCTAAAGGATGCTTGTAAGATGAGAGGGAATAGATTTGTTCCTAGAAGTCATTAAAAAGAAATAATTTGTTCATGTAGTTTTCTATGTGCATGTCTTCTCAAAAGACACTCTAAAATAGTGTCTTTTTTTCATTCTTCCTTAATAGGAATCTCGTTAAGAAGTACTGTCCTAAACGTTCACCAAAGGATGAAGAACCCAGGTAAAAATGTGCATTTCAAGTTCTATGTATAAACAAACAAGGACTGACAGTGTGTGCTGTCCTTTTATGGATTTTTCTTTTTAAGATAAAGTATTGAATTGGCTAAGACAACAAAAGAATTCTGCTTGGCTTCTTGTAGTTCTGCTGTGATTCTTAAGCATGAAACTTTTGTTTACGCCTATTAGTATTTTAATGTAGTAAACATGGCAGGTTGTACTTGCTCCCTTCCAAATTAATCTTTAGGTAACTGAAATTTTGAAAGGAGAAGTTTAGCATGCTGTGTACAGTCTAGTATTTGGGTTTTTTTTAAAGAAAAGCAATTATGTGTCCTTAGGCTTTGTATTTTTCTTGGTTTAATGGTGTTTTCCAGTGCATTTTTATGGCAATACAAATGTAGCTGTGCATCTGTATTCTGAGACTCGAATGCACACAAAATTGTCATGTTTCAGGCAAGAAGAGCTTTTAAAATGCTGACTTGCTTTGACTCTGGAGGCCAAATAAGTGAATGTCTAATGGTGGAGGAACAATTCGTGCTAAGCAACTTTCTTTATCAGAGATGTGCTTGTTTTGTTGTCCATGGCCATAGCCATTTTTAAAATTTAGTTAGAAAAGGACAATACTTTTTTTTCTTTAGTGATAAGTCTTAGGAAATAAAAAAAGTGGGCAAGTTTCAGGTTGCAGCCAGAACACGTGCTGTGCAGAGTGCCTGAGAATTCATGGTAGGATTTCTTCTATCTCTTTTAACTATGTAAAGATCCTGGACCACAGGCTATAGGATTTCCAGTGCAAGGGTGGCATTTGAAATTTCCAAGAGCCAAGCCTATGGGGATAGCAGTGTTCCACAGTTATAAGAGAGAAAGATGTATATTTTAATGTGGTGCCTGTTTTGTTTTTCCTTTCTTCCCTTCCACACACACTTTCTACCCTTTGCCCCTCCTCTTCCCCCCTTTTTAGTGCCAGCCATAGTGGCACCTTACTTCCAGCCAAGAGGTGGGCAGGCAAACAGGCAGCTGTCTCCAGAGCTGATAGCAAACTTGTTCTGTAGAACATCCATCGGGATGCATATGAGTGGTATGATTGGCATGTTCCACCCTCAAGACTACCAAGCACATCATCTCTGCAGCAAGTTCAGCCTCCGAGCCTAGGGACGTATGTATCCATTCCCAAGCTCAGGCCTCTCAGTTGGCAGCTTAGGAGATACCACTATACTACAGGGCTTTCCAGGTAGTATTCTTCTTCTTTCTTTTCCATCCACAAAACCCCATGTTCTTATAAAACGTGTTTGAAGAGACATTGCAACATATACAGTGCGTGCTAGGCTTAACGTAGGCTTTCCCAGCTTGTATTTCTGCTATAACTCAATTAACATTAAGATAAGGTTTGTTGTAAAATGTGTATGTTTTTTTTTTTTAATTTAATCAGGAGTACAGACTATGCTAAAAGAAGTCCATGTAAAAAAAACTTTCTGACCTTTTGTGTATGTATGTTTGTGTGTGTGTGCTTTCTGTCAGGTTTACTTCGTGTATTGCCTTTTTTAACATCCTGAATGAGTTGAATGACTACGCAGGACAACGAGAAGTAGTTGCAGAAGAAATGGGACACAGAGTGTATGGAGAATTGATGAGATATTCTCATGATCTAAAAACTGAGAGAAAAATGGTAATTTTGCATTTTTTGTTTATAAATAGGATGTCAGAATGTATGTTTTTCAATGAATTGATGTATTAGTTTACCCAGTTTAATGAACATGGCAATAAGTTTTGTAATACACTGTAATACATTTATAAAACACATTTAAAGTTATTCTATATGTTTATACACTGGTTTACTACAGCTATTAAACCTAAAAATAACCTAAATATATTGGGAGATAGTGCTTACTAGTAAGCTTCTTTTTGCCAGTGTAATTTTCATCTGTGGTTCTGTTTTTATGTGATTAGTAATGTCTTCCAAAGAGTACCAGTAACTTGTGGGAGATACTGCACATCATCAACTATCAACTAGAGCAGGGAATAACTAATGGTAATAATGCTAAAAGATAGGCAAGTTAAACTTATGTGTGGTTTTTTTAGCATCTTCAGGAAGGGCGAAAGGCTCAGCAGTATCTGGACATGTGCTGGAAACAGATGGATAATGTGAGTTGGTGTTTTATTGCTGTTGAACTTAAATAATGTATAGTGTGTAAATGGAGGTGTTGTCAACTGTCTTGCTTAGATTTTAATGTTTAGCTGTAGTACTGAATGTCCAAGTAAGTTAGTAACATCCAAAATACAGTTCAATGTACTTATAGTTCCCTGGTTAGAACAATCTCCTGTAAACAACTTCTGTGTGCATGTTTGAGGAAACCCTTGGCTTTTATCCAGCATAACGAGCATAAAGGAATCTATTTTTAACGTGGGTACAGACTTTGGTTGCTTCTCCTTGGGCTGCTAATAATGACAATGTATTTATATGAAGATGAAATCTTAAATCAATATATTTGACTTGAGTTTGAGGCCTTGTTACATGAAGTTTATTCAAGCATACCACAGACAACTGTACTTTCAGGAAGTAGAATTTTAACAGAGAAATGCAGAAAGTGAATGTCTCTAGAACAGATTATAAGCCTCTTTTTCTTCAAAGAAATGCTTTTAAAGATAAGAAAATATAGAAATTCAGTCAAGTCTATTCAAGATGCATTCTGATATTCTGCTGGGTTTGTGTCTTAAAAATTTATTATACCTTTGATCCAGATTATTGTGAAGCAAGAATGGAGAGATGAATTTCTTATTTTGTTGTTGTGGTCCCAGATGAGCAGAGTCTTGCTTCATGTTCATGTCAGAGTTTAATTCATTGTCAGAGGATCAGAATAGAGGCAGATGTGGAAGTTATAGATGCTGTCACCCTTCAGCAAGAAATTCCCAGAGTTCAGCTCAAACAATCAGTCATATTTCCTTGAGTGCAGAGTCAGTCTTTTACATGCACACAACCCTGAAGGGACACGCTAAGCTCATTTGCCTGACTTTGCACTGAAGCAGGAGAGCAGTGCTCGCACAATCTCTGTTGCAGTTTGTCTCTAGAGATACTGAATTCTTGAGCTGCAACCTACAGCAGTTGTCTTGACAACAGCCGGATATATTGAACATCATGTACATTGAATACTGTTGTCTGTGCTACCTACAGCTGTGCCAGTTGATGTGAATGTTGATGATGATTGTAATGTATATACATCCTTCAGACTACCTTCAAAATAATTTAGTTGAATTTACTGCAGTAAAATTGATCACTGAAGAAGGAACTTGAAAATTTTGCTCGTAAAGGTTCATGTTTAAGTTTCCTGCGCCATAACTTTTATTTAGGTTATTGAAGTCAGGCTAGAAAGTGGACTTGTGTGATTATTATAAACTATGGCTCTTTGTAATGGATTATTGTGTATTTTGTACTTTGTAGCATAATTGCAGTTTCCTTGCTGATACTTCAAGGAAATAAGTTTTAAATAGAAAAGTTGAAAATTTTTTAGATCTAGTTGTTGTGATAACAATGTGCTTATTTAAAGGTACTTAGTGAATTTAAGATACTTAGATGGAAGCTTTGATGTTTAGAATTCAGAATTAATATATGAAACTGAATGGGAAAAGTGGCTGTTGAAGCAGTAGATTTGTGCCTTTTGTAGAGCAAAAAGAAATTTGAGAGAGAATGCAGAGAGGCAGAGAAGGCACAGCAAAGCTATGAACGACTGGACAATGACACTAATGCGACAAAGGCTGATGTTGAGAAGGTAAGGGCAGTGGCCTTTATTAAAAATAATATATTATTTGCATGTTTGTCATCACTACTGGAACAACATTCAAGGAGCGTATAAAATTGTGTATAAAATATGCCTGCTTATTATGTGCAAAATCAAAGTTATAGTGAAATGTAAGGCAGCATGGGAAGGGAGGATGCTTCATTAGTCTCGAGACGATGCTGCTTAGATAGAATCAGAATAGTTTGGCTTGGAAGGGATCTTGAAGACCCCCATCCAACCTGGCCTCAAACACTGCCAGGGATGGGGCATCCACAGCTTCTCTGGGCAACCTGTTCCAGTGCCTCACCACCCTCATAGTAAAGAATTTTTTCCTAATGTCTCATTTAAACGTGCCCTCTAGGAGTTTGAAGCCATCCCCCCATATCTTATCACTAGGACCCTTGTAAAAAGTCCCTCTCCAGCTCTCTCGTAGCCCCTTTAGGTACTGGAGGGGGCTCTAAGGTGTCCCCAGAGCCTTCTCCAGGCTGAACAATCCCAACTCTCTCAGCCTGTCTTCATAGGAGGGCTGCTCCAGCCCTCTGTTCTTTTTTATGACCCTCTCTGGACTCTCCTCAACAGGTCCCTGTCTTTCCTGTGCTGGGAGCTCTCCAGGTGGGGTCTCACCAGAGTAGAGGGGTAGAGTCACCTCCCTTGACCTGCTGGTCACACTGCTTTTGATGCAGCCCAGAACACAGTTGGCTTTCTGGGCTGTGAGTGCTCATTGCAAGGATCCCCAGGTCCTTCTCCTCAGTGCTGCTCTCAATCCATTCTCTGCCCTGACCCAGGTGCAGGACCTTGTACTTGGCCTTGTTGAACTTTGTGACGGTCCCTCTGGATGGTTGTGATGACTGTCTTCTTTAAACAAGAACTCTTCCTGATGTTTGGTATCTTGTAGTATATATGTTCAGTCACTTCTGTGTTTTTTAGAATATGCATTTAAGCAGGGTGGCTAAGGGAGCTAAAATGATCATTGCTTTCTCTGTATGCAACAAGTGGGTTTGTAGAGTGTCAGTAGATGTGAAGTCTCACATTGTTTTTACTCCAGTTATAAGGATGTCGGTTTTGATGACTTGTGACTAATGTTTTTGCATAGTTGGTAAAATAAAATAATGCTGTTTGTCATTGAAAAGCACAAGACATGTTTAACCTGGTAACACTTTCCTGTTTAGGCCAAGCAACAATTAAACCTGCGCACACATATGGCTGATGAAAACAAAAATGAATATGCTGCACAACTACAGAACTTTAATGGGGAACAGCACAAACACTACTACATTGTCATTCCTCAGATTTATAAGGTAAAATAATTAACAGATAAAGTATGTCTGATCTTCTAAATAAGAAGTAAATTTTAAAATTTTAAACTTTAGTTTTAGGATTTTAGTGGATAACTTTATCAGGAAATTAGCATGATCTTGATATAACCTGGTGTTTTATCATGAGACTTATTGCTTACCATATTTATGCTTAGATTTGTAACAAAAATGCTCAGTTGCATTTTCTGTAAGATTTTATATTTTACAGATTCTTTATTTAAATATTACTGAAGAGGTCTGACAAAATAAACATTTGAGACATGTAGGTGACAGCAAGCATCTGAAACAGTCATTCTAACGAGTTTTGGTCAGTAGTTGTCATGATATTTGGAGGTGTGTGCAAATGCTTTTCCTCTGACAGAGATGAAGGAAAGCACGTGGTGACTGTGGATTAATGTATCTCATGCACAGATGTAAAGTGGGTGGATTGGAAGCAGAAGTGCCGGCCCTGGCCCCCAGCTGGTCATTGCTTCATCAATTACCAGCAATCCACAGACCTCTCTAAAACATAAAAAAAGTTAAAGATCAATAATTTGATTCTGAAATGGGGATTTCTTGTGATGCTGTATGTAATTATTAAGATATCTTTTAACAGTCTTTCAAAAACAGAGAGACTGCAAAACTAAAGTACTTTGGGGGGCGTCAGGTGAGGAGAGAGTTTAAAAGTGTGTTGGCACGTACCTCCAGCCATGTGGGAGAATAGATGTGGGAAGTGATTCTGAGACAGGGTGTCAGGAAATGGCAAGTGAAGTACTGGCTTTTTTTGAAGGTGTTTTGACTTAAGTATGCTTGATGTTTTCCAGAAGCACAAGTCCGTTCATATTTTTTTAAAAAAAATTCTTAATAGAAGGTCTGGGATTCACAGGGGAAATTGCCTTTGGCTTATTAAAGAATTTTCTAATATTTTAACTGTTAAGCAGTACTGCAGTAGATCTGACATTAACACACTGATGGAAGAATTGCAGTCAGCTCCCAGGAGAATCAGTTTGATCGTCTTTGTAGCTTGGACCAGAGTTTTTCTTTACTGCCTTTATTTCTCTATGGTTAAAATCCATTATCCTTGTAAGACAGTACTTATGTTTTTTGAACGCTACAGTAAGAGCAAAAAGGCCTAGTCCTACTTTCTCTTGGGATTACACTTTTATTATTTCCTTGCAAGTATTTGGTAACATTCTGTGGGAAAACCTTGGGAAAGGGGTTTAGCATGACGAGGTCGTTGTTTTGGTTTTGAGAGATGAAATTGAATACTGGTAGAGACATTTGCCTTAGCGTAGTTGCAGGAAAGATCCAACTTCTATCCCAGTTTTTGACAACCTATTGGTGCTGTTGGTCTTTGTTTTCTTTCCACCTTCAATTAGATGAAAGGTCCGGGACTATGACCTTAATAGTATTTCTCTTGAATTTGTTCTTTTTTGTTCTGTTCCAGTAAACTTTTATTGCAAATCTTATGTAATGGTATTCTTTTCTTTATTTTCTTGCACACTTCTAAAGGAAATGGTTTGTATTTCAATCAGAGATCATGTCTAAACTGCAGATAATTTAAATTTTCCCTATTTTTTAAATAATTAGTATTTATTGGAAAGTATAAAAATAAAAGCAAGATGGAGATATTTATCACCGGAGAAATTACTTGGAACTAGAAGGAGAGAGTGAGGAGATGTGGAAATCAGTAAAATTTCTTCATAGTGGTTTTCATTTGGGCATGAAACAAATACTTTAAACTTTGTCGCCCATAGACACTGTACATGGATTTTATTCAAGAAGGAGGAAAAGGAAGTCCAGTCCTTTATATAATTTTTAGAAATCAAAGTGTATAAACTCTTTGTAACTACTGTTCTGTGCATCGTAAATCTATGCCTGAAAGAACTTTCAAGTTCTGTTTTGTTAAGCAAATAAAAATACTAGGAAAGCACGGAAATTCTGTACTACACTGTGGTGACCACAATTAACTGCATATATCAAGATCAAGGGGAAAAAATCTGCAAATGAAAGCTTTATTTTATCTTTCTTTGCACTTGCAGCAACTTCAAGAAATGGATGAAAGAAGGACTATCAAACTTAGTGAATGTTACAAAGGCTTTGCTGACTCTGAGCGCAAAGTTATTCCAATAATCTCTAAATGTTTAGAAGGGATGATCCTTGCAGCAAAGTCAGTTGATGAACACAGAGTAAGTAGAACTGAGTAACTTTTTGAAAGTGCGTGAGCAATTGAACTGATAGGGAAACTGTGGAGAGGGGAAAGGCTGACTTAACCTGTGCATTTTCCTTCCTGTTGTCAAATATATTTGCCTGCTTGAGAAGTGTGGTGACTTCAAACCTTAAGTGATCACTTCCACTTTTGGTGTCTGCTCTCTCCCTGTTTTATTGATTTCGTGTCATCTGAAGATCTTTGTTACCTTCTTATTGTGTTTGTTTTTGGACACGTTTTGGTTATCCTGAAATGCCTTAGAATACCAGTGTGGTTGGTATTTTCTCCTTTATGTGGCATTGAATCATGTAAAGAGTGTTCAGTTAACAAAGTATCATTCCATGTGCTGTTTGATTGCAGCTGTTGGCACTTCTTTCTTATTCCTTATAATACGGGTTCTTCCCGATTATACCTTACTACATCTAGTTTCTTAGTGTTATCTTCATTTCTGTGCCAATGTTGAAAGATCAAAAAGTGGAGTAGTAGTTTGTCCCTAAAGCATGTCCTGTTTTAAATCTGTGATAACCCTTGGGAAGTATTTGGGAAGTACGGATTCTGAATAGCAGAGTGTGCTTTGAACACTGCTGAGATAAAAAAACATATGTTATCTTAACTCACTCTATCCAAAAGCACGTGTTTGGAGCTTGCTCTTACTTTCCCATCTCTGCATCTCTACAATTAAAAGAAAAATTTGTCTCCCCGTTTTTTCTCTCTCTGGTTCTTGATGGGTTTGCTTTTTAAACTCCTTATGTCCTATGTTTAGGACTCTCAACTAGTGATAGACTGCTTCAAATCTGGTTTTGAACCTCCTGGAGATTTTCCATTTGAAGACTACAGTCAGAATATTTACAGAACTATCTCTGATGGAACCATCAGTACACCAAAGCAGGAAGGAATGAGAATTGATTCAAAAACTACAGTCGGCAAGGCTAAAGGAAAGCTGTGGCTGTTTGGAAAGAAACCAAAGGTAACAATTAAGAAATTATTATTTGGAAAATTAAAATGTGAACATCTAGAGTGCATGGAAGCAGAAATTTATTTATTTTAAAATAACCTTCCCCTTGCCTGCCGCTGTCTTTTAAAATATGTGGAAGGAGATCTGAAGCCTGGAGTAGGGTTGGATACTTCTCATGTTCCTTCTATTGATTTGTGTCTGGGAATGTTTAATTTCATTTGCTAAAAGTAGCTTCCCATTACTGTAATGGGAAATCTTTCTAAGATTCTGCAAAGACTTTCTGCAATTGCATAGAAAAGGTGTTAATTGTGAATGTAAAAATAAGGGGGAGTGTGCTTTGGAATCGGCCAGACTTCAGATCTCTTTTATAATATAAAAAGCAAACCCCTTCTAAATGTCACATTTATATGTAGAAGTGCTATATAGATTTTTATTATACCTGCTGCTTTTGAAAACTTCTGAGATTTGTCTGAAAACATTAAAGTTTATGATACCTCATTGATAAAACTTAGTGTTGAAGCTCCATACTGGTAAATGTCCTAGAAAATATTACTATGAAATAGGTAAAAATATTTCTATGCTCAAGAAAAAATTGAGAGCATAGAAATGACTCCTTTGTTGTCTTATGATATGAATTACAATTAACACTTTCTGTGCAAGATGCCTTCATGCATCAACAAAAAAGATTGTCAATACATGCATTAGTTATATAAAAATGAATAATGGAGCATATACATATTTAAATTTTATGCTGTGTCTTTATTTAGTATTGGAGCATATCAGTGAGCCATTTTAATGATTCTCACAAATTTCTATGAGATTATTTTAATGGTCTAAGCCAGTTTCTGTCATTTATTACAGGAAACTATTCTTAGAGCCTGTTACTGGTAGGAATTATTTTCCTCCTTGATAGTATTCCAAGAAAGCATATCTTTATAGAAAGGAAGGATACAGCTGATTTTTTTTATTCCATGCTCAGTATATTATGTAACTGCAGCTGCGTGTTAAAGTGAAAACTGATTGCTTTTCATGCAATATAATTTAATGATTGATAATAGTTTAAATGCAGTAATATATGAGCATATTTATTGCATTTGTCTGCAGAGGTGGGTGAGATTCAGCCTAGTCTGAAATCAGATCATAATTGCCAGTTTGGCCACAAGACATCTTTCTGAGAGTCTGTAAATCTACGCTGGTTTTCAATCTGGACCTTGGCATTTACTGTAGTTATAAGAAGTCCCTTAGTATGAAGACAGCTGAAGAAAGCTGTCAAGACTTGCCCTACTCTTTCTTCTCTCCAGTTTGTTCACTTTGTATGTAGCGTTCAGAGTCAGCCTTGCTGTTTTCTGTATGGAACCACAGGTGTACATATGTGTATACAGACTACATATCCCTTCATAAGGACCTGGACAAAATGAAAGATTTTGTTCCTTTTCTTTCACCTGTTTTTGGGGAGGGTGGAGGAGTGCTCTACAAAAAAGCAACTGGGAGCAAATACTTACCAGAAGATATATATATTTAATTCCAAACACTACTCAGAGGTTTTAAAATATATTCTTAAATTAGCTAATACAAAACTAGCTGATTTATTACAGCTAGAGTATTCATGGTAGCCCTTGGACCTTCATTTAGCTGAAACTATGGCTGGTCTTGACTTCCAGATATGCATTTACCTATTTTTTGATGTTGTCAAAGACTTAAACGTCTTTTTGAAAGGGAATGACTTGTACAGCAGTGGAAATAGTACAGAAAAATTAAACTGGGAAAGAGCAGCAGAGGTTTGAGACACAAAAAACGAGAGAAGCAATTTGAAGAAAAAGGAGGAGGTTCTCATGATGATAATTAAGAATGACACACAGCAATTGTGTCAGTCCAACCTGACTACAGAGATTGAGAATACTTCTTGTTTTAGTCATTCTCCATAGACATACTTAATATTTCTGTCTTGGCTAACCTGGTAGGGTACCTCAATATGTAGGAGGAAGCATGGAGCAGGAATGCTGAGCTTCCAGAATGACTGTAACTAAATTGGCAATAGCAGAACTTTAAGAGAAGGGACAGGGAACTTCGGGATCTTGTTAGGATCTTGTGGCAGTGTTGAGTCTAAAGCTTTTTTGAATGTTCCTTCATTCTCTGCAGCAACCTGTAACTCTGAAGACTAACTCATGACAGAAACCCTGTTAAACCCAATACAGTTATAGTATTAATATGTCTGGAACGTTACAAGCTGTTTCTGTGTTGGATGGAAATTTTAGTTTTGTAAGACAGAATTTTCATTTTAAAATCACTTTGAACATTTGGCTTATTTATTGCTTTCTTTATTTCCACATTAGCCACAATCCCCACCCCTAACCCCTACTAGTTTATACACATCCAGTACTCCTAATGGGTCCCAGTATCCCATATTCTCCATTGAACCAGTGCATTATTGCATGAGTGACATAAAAACAGGGAAGCCCAGAATTCCTTCTTTCAGAAGCCTCAAAAGAGGGGTAAGTTCAATAACAAGTTGAAATGCATGATGGGCTATGAACAGTGTGTTTGTGATGTGGCTTTTCTAATGCTCTTCACCCTCGTTATAAGGCTTACTTGGTTAAAAGTAACACTTCAGCTATAAGGTCACTTCTAGAATACTTTTTATCATACTATACAGAAGTTACCAACAGATTAAAAATAAAATAGAAATACTCTTTATCACAATTGAAATACTTGTGCCTAAAAGAAAGGTGTTATAAAGAGGGTGCTCAGCATGTGTTTGATACCTTTCTTCATTGTTGTTCACATTCACAAATGTTTTCCTACCATCATGTAACATTTTTGCAGTAATTTATCATTGGCTATATAGTCACCACAAAAATCATCTGATAGATCAGGTGTCTTTGCTGAATTTGAATTGAAATTGTAGTAGTTGATTATGAGATAGTGAACCAAGAAGGGAGAACTTGAATTTCTTCTGTACATCAATTGCTATAGCACATGGGGCTGGCACATTTTGGAATACTGATTTTTAAAGCATTATAGTTTTAATGCATTTTCTGATTAATTAGTTGTTCTTGTTTGTACTAGGTTCTTTTGGGTAAAAATATTGAAAAAATTACTACCAAATGCCTCCTACTGAGACTTACCAATTAATTTACTAATTTATAGTGGCATATTCTGCAAATAGAATTTATTTGGAAGTCAGTAGATGGGAAATACTACATGGTTTCCTAGCAACGTTTATAGTACTAGTGATAAATGTACTGGCACTTCCCTGCTATGTCAGAAAAGCATAGGCTGCTCAGTTTATGTATGTCTGATGATATTTATTGATCCAAATAATGAGATAATTAGATGCACTTGATGATATAATTAATAATATTTTGATGTTTCAAAACAATATTGACTTGCTGCCTCATTTGCATCAAGAATGGTTGACTACTCTTGACGTAATGTGGAGATCAAGGTACAACCTTGTTATATTGCAGCAAGGGTATAATTTAGAGGCTCCCTTGTTGTCATTCTGAAATGGAATGAGTTTCAGTTAAAACTTATTTTCTTTAAGTCATGTTGTGGCATCTAATTTCAGACCCCCAGATATCTTGGAAATACCCTTTCTACCACAACCATTATTTAGAAAATTCTTGTGGTCCTCTAAGTATATATGGAGGACAGTTTCTACTTTCCCCTTCTGAATCACTTATAATTTGGTCTCGTCATGAAGGTAATGTTTCTTCTTTAGTACTTAGTGAGGAACTAATTGGATTAGATAGCACAGGTCTTGATTACACCTCAGTTTTGTTGATCACTAAATGTATTGACTCCTGGCTTACAAATCATTACCTTTGCAGTAGTAGTAGTTCTAGAACCTCTTACTGAAGCAAAAGATCATCTGCTAACAACTACAGAATGCTAATGGAAAATGAAACTCTGATTTTTTTAAATACATTGTTCATGTTGTAAAATTGAATTAATATATTATTATTTAAAATTAGGGAGGATCACTAGTATCGTACAGATCTCAATTAACTCAAACATGCCAAAAGATTAAATAATCTCTGTAAAATCTTCAAGATAAATATTTAATTTTTATATATTTTGAACTTCCTTGCAAGCATTTTAACAGACATCACATTATCACATATTTTTAAAGTCTTTTCAGCATAAATCTATACTGGAATACTAACAGATTTTTTTTTCTCATTGATCAATCTTATCTTTATAATATATCTTGATTAAATGCTTAATAGTTGCTCATACATGATGCTGTTTTCTAGGTTTTTGTCCCTGAAAAACGATGTCCCAGTGGTACTGACACACAGAACTACCAAACCATAAAATCATAAAAAGGTTTGGAAGGGACCTCAAATATCATCTGGTTCCAGCCCCCCTGCCGTGAGCAGGGACACCTTCCCCTAGACCAGCTTGCTCAGAGCCCCATCCAACCTGGCCTTGAACACTTCTAGGGATGGGGCATCCACAACTTCCTTGGGCAGCCTGCTCCAGTGCCTCATCATCTTCTGAATAAAGAATTTCTTCCTAACATTTAATCTAAATCTATCTTTAGTTTAAAACCATTCCCCTTTGTCCTGTCACTATCTGCCTGTGTAAAATGTATTTAATTTGCTTCAGCTTCTACCGAGCTCTGTCCATGAGTTGGCATATATCAGACAGTAAGAATACTGGTTATTGTGTTTAACATGCCCTGTACAAGATTTCTCTCAAGGCCCTGGAGATCACAAAACCAGTCTTTCTTCGTTCTGTGCTTCATGCAGTAGATTTTTCTATCGTGTTGTAGAGCAAAAGCAGCAAACAGTAGCAGTAGAGTAGGTTATTGAATAAAGGTTGTAAGCAACTGTAACTTGCTTTATTAGTACTGCTGCTACCTGCTGCTGCTTCTCCTTTGAAATCTCAGCAGTTCCAGAAGGTGTCAGTGCTTATGACAGTCTGTGCTCAATGCCATTTGGTACATAAACAGATGCATCAGCAGCAGCAATATGTAAACCTTTATAGTGTTTGCTTGGAAGACTCTTTTTAAAGGGAACAGGAAGTTTATTTATGCCATTTTGCATCCTTGAACCGTATTCAGTTTTCTACCAAAGTATCATTCGTGAAGGTGCTTTACTTCCCTCATTGCTAGAAATTCTAATTTTGTGTGTGTGCCCCAATCAACAGCCTTAACAAGTGCTGAGGGGGAGTCATAAATGAGGTTGAGATATCAATCTCCTAAGTTGCTTGGTGTTTCTCTGGAAAGGGTTATCCAAAGTCATTGAAAGCACAGGAGATCTTCAAAATGCTGTGAATGTTAAACCCAAGATTAACTCCTGGCCCTCATGTTTTACTTGCTTCTTTGAAGGATAAAATCTTAAATGTCTTTATTTTTATCTGGACTAAAACATCTTTAGATCACAACAACCCAAATGCTGTTTTCAGAAAGTAAAATTAATTACTTCTAAACTTAAAAAATATCTTTGTTTATTCTAGATCTACTGTGATAATAAAGTAAATGCATTGTAAAAATTACATTTGTAAAAGTCATGGTAGTGGATTTTGAGCTATGATTAACAAATTATTTGCATATGAGTGATCAGTCCATCATCATCAAATTCTGCTATTTTGTGCAATGTTGGCTCTGTGTGTGTTTCTTTTCCTACAATAGAAGGTCTTTAGCCTATTATTCAAAACACTAAAATTCAAAACTAGTTTAATGAAATTGTCTATTAAAATTTCATAAGTTAAAGTACCCATTATCACTAGTAATTTTCTTCAGTAATTCCTAAAGCAATTGTTATGCTTATAGTAAACTGTGTTTTTATAAATGAAAATGTCAATCCTTAAGTAATATTTTAAAGATAGATTTTTAGGCATTAATCATTTTCGTAACTGGTCGTTGCATGTAAATAATTTCCCGTTTCTTTCTGTTTTCAAATGAACTGTGCAGTGGTCGGTGAAGATGGTAAGCCCGTGTGCTGATCTGTCTGCTGTATTTCTCCTAAGATAGCATGAAAGTAATCTTTGAAAGTGTTTCCATATCATAACTGCTTTAAGTCAGGTGCTGAAATACATCTTCAGATTTTCCACTCATATGCACAGTCTTCTTAATCATCCATGCTTAATGTAAGGCAATTAGACTTGTGATCTGGCTGCAACTAAATCTGTGACTTGGGACTTTTAGAGTTGACCAGTATTCACGAGTTGGTCATGATGGAAATACTTGGTGATTTTTCTTTGTCAGGAAAATTGTTGAAGCAGCATAAAATACTATATGAAAAGATTACAAAATTTGTGTAAAGAACAAATATTGAATACTGCACTCCTTTGAATTTGGGAAAAAAATTGCAGGGGAGATGATCCTTTATGGTTAGAAATATAGAAAGCTGTTACATTAAATGAAAACCACACCTTAATCAGTACTGTTGTTTTGCAGAGTAAATCAGTAAAATTCACAAAAAGACCTCTCTTCTTCTGATTCTTCTTTTAGGATACTCTGATTTTAACTGACCTGTAGGGAAGAATGATACAGAGGATGTGATTGTCTTTTTGTTTCTTTGTAGTGTGTAAAAACACCTGAAAGGATTTCAAGGTTTTTTTGTCCTTCAGAAAGGAACACTTCTGTTTTATTTTGGAAACATTATATCTTGATTTTCCTACTTTTATGGTGTCTTGTATTGCATTCTTAAAAAGCAGTGAGATTGATTTTTACAAGTGCAAAAGATCCAAGAAGTTGAGTGGGGCAAGAAGATCTTAAGGGGGGGTATTGGAAACTTGGCACCCAAGCCTGAGGCTGTTGATGTAAAAATCTCAACAGTCAAGTTTCTGTAAAATTTCTTCTTGACAAAAGAAATGCTGTCCAGTTTGGTTTGCCTCCATGGAGGGTTAACTGTAATGGCAAGTAGGTTTCTTGTGCTAAAACCAACTTCCTTAGGCAACTGGGAACACAAAAGATGGAATTTAACCTTCTGTTATTATGACGTGTACCATATTTCCTTCTTAACACTGTCACTGTCTGTCACCCTGAGGGGAAGAGTTTTCACAACAAACTCACAAGACAACGTAAAAATCTTCCCATGCATTTCATATCCAGGCCCTTCCATCCTGCTTATAATCTTGGCACAAGTTTGCAATCAAGTTTGCAGGGTTAGGTTCATAACAATAGGTGGTCTTTAAGTTGCTTGGTCTGGGGCTTTTTTTAAGGTTTGGGAAGTAAGAGGTTTTTTTCCCTCCCTAAGTTTTTTGGATTTTTTTAATAGTAAAAAGGTTAGTTGGAATATTTGAGCAATATTTGGATTCAGATCAACAAACTTAGGTCAAAGTTTTGATATTATAAAGGCTTTTTCTGTGTTCCATGAACTGGTTTTACTCAAGGTAAAATCCATCAGAACTTTTAAAGTTTTAATATGTTTTCTAGGATTGCTGAACTTCTGGAAGAGAACTGTAATAGTACTTTGGAATGAAGATCCAAAATATAGTATTTTTGTTTTGGTAGCATCCAAATCACCATAGAACATGCTCCAGAGAAAGAAACAATTATATCTACATAGTATTATTATATACACAGATTATTGTTCTGAAGTAATTCTGTAGTAATTAATTCTGTCCTTTCTAAATCTGCTTTGAGTGCAGTGGATGTAACAGGAGGTACATGACTCAGCCTTTCAGAAAAAAAATTAAGTGTACAAATTTTGAATTACCTCTGTGAGCCAACTGTTACAGAAGGCAGAAAGAACCTTGAATGAATGACTACACTGGCAGCGAGAACATGCATTTATTCTGTTGCGGTCTTTCGTAGAGCTGTTTGTCGAGTAGAGTTTTTAAGAAGGTCCATCCTGCTTCCAGTGAACACTGTCCATGTGTGGATATGTCACTTCAGCTGCCAGGGTATGTGCATGTAACTTGTTCCATGGTATTTCTGCTTGCAGGGCCCTGCACTAGAAGACTTCAGCCATCTCCCTCCAGAACAAAGACGCAAGAAACTGCAACAGAGGATTGATGAACTTAACAGAGAGCTACAGAAGGAAACAGACCAAAAGTGAGTGCATTTTTTTGGAGCTCTGTCATGGTTCTCTCACTGTTTCTTTTGGAGTCCTCTACCTAGTCCAAGAGTGCTCAAAAGCTAGGAGACAATCTACTAGGCCAGGCTATTTATTAACAAGCATTTTTAAGTTCATAGTTTGTTGTATGTAGGTTCTTATTAGCATTACTTCCTTCTGCTTTATTATATTACTCATTTTGATCCTAATACTGCATAGGAAACATTGGCTCTAAAATCATGCATTAAAAAAAATGCATAGGTCTGTTCAGCAAGAGAGCTGTCACTTGGTGCCTTAAGAATGTTACTAATATTTAGGAAATTATCTATAACAAACAATATGGGAAACAGTACTGAGACTGGATAGAGAAGAGTCAACAGTTGGAGTCCTTGTGTGCCTATGCCCAACACAAGAAAGGAAGGCAAAGTGCTAAGAGGACAGAATGGGAGAAGGATTTAGGCAAGGTGTAGGGGACCAGTAGTTCCTCATCTCTGTGCTTAGTATCTAATCATGGGTCTGGATCTCACACACATTATTTTAACTTTAATGAATCAGTACTGATGTATGTAATTTTCATAACTGTTGTTGTGTTTTGTATGTTTTTAGAGATGCCCTCATCAAAATGAAGGATGTTTATGAGAAAAATCCCCAAATGGGTGATCCAAGCAGTTTGCAACCAAAATTAACTGAGACCATGAGCAACATGGACCGTCTTCGGATGGAAATACATAAAAATGAGGTTAGACTCTAAAATAGAGTTTCTTGGAAAATGTAGATGATTGGTACAACTGTACTTTGCCTTACAGCTTTTAAATATAGCACCCAGAAAAACTACTTGTTTTAAGAAAGTGCTCCTGATAGCATTTTTTGTGGGGTGCCATATTTTCAAGTGTGTTCATCTAACTAGAATAAGGATGTGTTATTAAAGATGTAAACTGTTCAGAAGAATGTATTATTATTCAGTTATTCTGTGATTCACACAGGATTAAAGATTTTTCTTTTCCTTAAGACTAGTATGGAGTATAGGCTAAGTAAAGTTCATGCTTCACATGAAGTAATGATGAGGCTTGACATCTGCATGCAGTCTCTCTGTGGCTGTGAACTGTATGCACTTAAGTGCATTTGTTAAATTTGCTGGTTTAGAATTGAGTTTTCTTTGACACTAGTATTTATCTTTTTTTCCCCAAGGCCTGGCTTTCTGAAGTTGAAGGTAAAGTGGCAGCCAGAAGCGACAGGCGGCACAGCAGCGATATCAACCACCTTGTAACACAGGGCCGAGAGAGGTCACTATTCTATCTCTACTGCTTTTGTCTTAGCTAGAATCAGTACATCTCTCTGGTAGTTAAGAGGAGGTGATGGTTGTTACTTATCCTCTGAAAGTCTGTGTCGTTCTAAAGGAAAATCTTACTGGCTCTGACTTCTAGAGGTCACTTCATGCCATTATGGTAACATATAAAATAGTCTAATTGAAACACCTGCTCAGTAAATAGCAGTGCCTTTTAATGCTATCTTATTCTATTGCTTGAGGCTCACACTAGTTTTCCATGTTCTGTGGAGACAAGTATGTCAAATTTGTTTGTTTTTGTAGCAGAATTCAGTCTAAGCTTTTGCTGGGTCAGTTTTTTCAGAAAATCACCTCCAGCAGTAATATAAAACCTGCTAACAGGAATTCCCAGGTCTGCCCTTTCTGTGATGCATGTATGTTCTGAGTTGTAGAGCTATGAACTCCTGAGGCCTCATGCTCCAATCATTGCATTATAGCCCTGAAGGGAGCTACACGGATGATGCAAATCAGGAAGTTCGCAGTCCACCACAGCAACACACTCATCCAAATGAGTTTGATGATGAGTTTGAAGATGATGATCCATTACCAGCTATAGGACATTGCAAGGCTATATATCCATTTGATGGTAAGGTTAACAACATGCATTATGATTCCTTGGCTTATTATAAGGCATGGATTAGTTTTTATAGAGAAGACAGGTAAAATGATTTAAAGTAAATTAACTGTATGAGCAACCAGTTGCTTATAAGATCAGTGAAAATACTTTATGAATTACTTAAACTCATGAGCAGTACATTTGTGCTGTTTTAAGATAAATATTAGCACAGCTATTGGCAAATGGTCAGCTTTACAAACTGGACTAGGTTCTTTTCTGTACGTCTGTTTGGCCATATGTTCTCTTGAACAGATTTTTTATTCTTCCTGTTTATATATAATTTGGAAACTGTGCCCTGGGAAAAAAAAATGACTTGAAATTCTGTCTGAACACTGAGACTTCTTTGCCTCTTGTTTCTCCCAGGTCATAATGAAGGCACTCTAGCAATGAAAGAAGGGGAAATCTTGTACATTATTGAGGAGGACAAAGGAGATGGGTGGACAAGAGCTCGAAGACATAATGGAGAGGAAGGCTATGTGCCAACATCATATATAGATGTAACGCTAGAGAAAAACAGCAAAGGTGCAGTAACCTATATCTAACAGTAAACTGGCAGCTTTCAGTTGTACATTCTCCAGGGAAAATAGTGGAAAAATAGTAAGTTATGCAGGTTCACGGAAAGAATGACAGAAGTCAGCAGTGATCTGTTGTTTGCATTGGAAGTTTGCTATAGTTCTTTTCAGAGATAACCACAGTAAATTATGCATCTTACACTGGTCTGTAATTTTGACCAATGTCTTCTGCTTTGTTTAACTGATCTAGAGTTCTTGCTTTACAAAGCACTAAATCCAGTTCAGCTATGGACTGGACCAGGATTCCTGCTTGTTCTGTAGAATACTTTGTTTTTATAGAGAACTGAAAAAATACTTAAGTTTTAAAGATTTCTAAGATTTACTGTTCCCACTTTTATAACTTAAATTATATGATTAAAACAGAGGGCTTTTTCCTCTAATAACTAACTGAACTCAGTTACTGAAAGTTATTAATTTCCTTCCTTAGCAAATACTTGGCAGCTTTCACTTCTTAAACAGGAAAATGTTTTCTGATTCTGAAAGTTCAAAAAAATACTCAGGAAAAAACATTACGATTAAGAAGGACAGAAAGTTCGCTGACCTGCCTGTCTCCTTCCTTTTCAGTACTTGTAATGTAAAATGTTCTGTATTGGACACAACTTCATTGTTTTAACTCTAGATACCTTGAACAAACAAAAAGAGACCACATGTAATGCTTGATGTCTTACTGAAACCTCTCTCTGCTCCTGATAAGGGAATGATTTTATATTCTTAATCTGTGCCTGTAAACTAACTCTCTGAATTGTATTGTGTTTAGTTTGAAATCAAGGTCTTAAATGTACAGTAATTCTCCTCATTGTTAAATCACTGAGGATTGGAAAATACATTGCACTACTTGATTACTATGAAAAAAAAAAGCTTATCTAAAAACTGTAACTCGTATTTCTACTGAGAGTTTGTGGAATTAAGTACAAGGTGATGTGTAGCCACTGAGAATGGCCTGTTAGAACTGAGCACGCTTCTCTTATCTTCTAAAGGCCTTCAGTAACTTTGTTCTTTTCTTTTTCCTCTTGGACTGCAGGTTCCTGAAGCGGGTTTCTGAGAAAATGGGCGAGATCTTGAAGGAGGTTACATGCAGCTGCTGGGGGGGAGGGGGTGGGGAGGGGAGGGGTACTAGACTGGGAGGCCCAAGGGTAAAAGCTAGTTGCATGAATGCATGCAGACATACATTTAGTCACTAACATCTTAGCATCTCCATATATAGGTAAGGATGTATTACACAATCTTGAATTTGTGCAGGAAAACAGAGTTCCATTACCAGAGTAAAAAGGCTACTGCTCCTAAAATTGCTTTATTTTCATTGTTCTAGGTTGTTCCAGGTGCACAAACTATATTTTAGCTTGTGCAATGTTTTGATTTCTCAGTTATGCTCTTTTCCAACTCATTTTAATTGGCAGTCACTTAGAACCATGTCAGTTATCAGTCTGCCTGTGCCACCTCCATGCTCGCTGTTAACCTCCTCCTGCATGCCTAGGACAGGCATGTTCTGTGTAACACTTTGCCATCAGTGCTTGTCTTATTTTGTAACAAATCATTTTCTTTAAATATCTTCGGCACTAAAGTTTCATCCCAGTATCCATGTATGCTGCTATAACAATACCACTGCAACCATCATTACATTCCAGATTTTTGGCATAACAACTGATAAGAGACCGTAATGTGTTTTCTTAATTTGGGGAACTAATACATCTCAGCTCTAGCCTACAATGCAATCAAGAGAAACTCCTAGACCTGTGGTCCATCTTCAGCCCTTCAGTAACCTGTTGTGAGCACTGAAAACCTGGAACACAACCAGAGGATTCACCACTGCGAGCTAATGACTGTTTTCAGAAGTCAACCACTTGCCATTCAAAAGCTGCCTTAAACTAGAGTGCCTAAAATCTGCTGTTTGCCAACACTACCACTTACAGTATCCCACAAGGGCTTTGTGTCTCAGCTCTTTCCACAGTGCTGCAGCTGCTGAGGTAGCCACGGTAGGTGTTTTCTAGAGCTCTACTTTACTGGATACATGGTGCATCGTGAATTTTATACATTGAAATGTGTATCTCATTACTTTTATACATTGAAATGTGTATCTCTTCATTTGACTTTAATATTTTTTTAAAAGATTTTTATGGAAACTGTCTTTTAGTTTTTCACTATGAAGTTCCAAGTTTAATTACTGCAGTGCTAGTCCATTTCCAGGTGATGCTTCATTGTATGGACCAGTTGAAATTTGAGTGATACTTTGTTAATGATCTATGTGCACTTTTACTTGTAAACAATTGAAATTTGGATATGTTTATACGTGTAAATATAGTTGTCTGCAGTGCCCCTATTGCTTATGTTGTCTTGCCTCCCATTTGTGGTTCTATTAATACATACATCATATCTGATTGATTAAGGTGATAAGAATTAGACTAGAGATGTTGGGGGGAGGGATACTTGTATCAAAGAAAGCTTGTCAACCCAGCCACCTGCTGTTCAGCAGCATATTATAAAATAATAATTAAAACATCCTCTTTTTCTGGCGTCTGAAGCAATATTTGGATGCAGCAGTGCTGGATTCTGTTTCATTTCAGTGTTATTAGAAACTGTACTACCAGTAAAACTGAATTTGAGTGACTTGTGTAGAGGTTTATTCCTTTTGTTATGTATACCACTATTACACAGCTTGACCTAGTGTACTATGGGGCCTATTAAACTCTAAAGTTTAGATTTTTGGAGCTTGTATACAGGGTTATTTATATAATAATGTGACATTACTCAATACTGACAAAACTACTTAGGTAGTTTTTTGGCTTTGGGGTTTTTTGGGGGTTTGTTGGGCTTGGGGTTGGGTTTTTTGTTTGTTTTTCTTTTTTTTTTAAATCTAGTGCTTTTTTTATTTTAAAGTTAGAGAAAAATGCGATGATCCTTGTGGGTCCCTTCCAACTCAGAATATTCTGTGATTCTGTAATTCTGTGAAAAGGAGGAAATGTGATCTGTGTATTTTCTGCTAAAGGGCCTGTGGTCTGCCTGGCTAACAGCCTTGCAGGTCAGTAATAACGCTGCCTGGTAAAGGACTAAATGCTCTCTTCACGCTACTGTTTGTTTTTCTAAAACCAGGATTTGCTTCCTTTGGAGGCAGGTTGCTTTCAAGATGGATAGTGCAACTTGTATGGGGGTTATTAAACATAGGAAAAAACATTTGTACTTGCACAGCTAGTTATCAATCACTTATTCTAAAATTCTGAATGTGAGTTGTCTTAAAGCATCTGACATTTTCCAGTAATTTTTTAATCCTTTTTTGTGCACATGTTGATTTCCTAAATGTTAAATGCTTTGTTTAAGAATAGTGTTCTCTGTTGAGAATATTTTCATGGAATAAAAAAATCTTTTCATGGTCTAAGTAATTAGCTTCCCCATTTGTCTTTTGTTAAGATCAACAGGGAGACTTTCGGTGTAAGGTCTGTAAACTCTTGATGTGGTGGTAGAAACCTCTGTGGGGACTGTGGATAGGAGGAACAGATTTTTGGTGTTGGTTCTGTTGTTAGCATACTCAAATACTTTCAGTGCTCTAAGTAACATCTCGCTCCAGAAACAGGCTTTCTGGCAACAAGCACATCCAGCTCTAACAGTAGTTCTTACTTAAATAGTTGTACAACTTCTGAGGATAATGCTTATACCAATTCTGTATGTGACAAAGTGGAATTTGTTGCTAAAACACTTTATATAATAAACACTGTCTATGCCGATTTCCTGTAAAAAGTGCTACCACCACCTTATACTTTGCCTTCATCCAAGGAAAAAGAAAAAATACTTACCAAAGTCATTCACCTCAGTAAATGAAGCAATTTTAATACATACATACACCCACATTTACTCATGTCTGAAAGCATTTTAATTATCTGGATTGTTTGTTCTTGTCATTTCATCATTCATTCCTGGCAGCATAGCTGTTCTGTTGTGCAGACTTCAGCAAAAGCCAAAGCACTACAGGTGCTGTCTTAAAAAAAACATAAGTTGTCCCAACACATAGACAAACTCATTTTCTACTTTCATAGGCACAGTGACATTTGAGCCTTGTGTTGTGGTCACAGATAAAGGATCATTTCTGCAACCTGCAGTATTTCTGTGATCTGTAAATATGCAAGTTATTTTGCATAAAGATACACTTCAAATCAAAATTCTATTTACAGTGGTTTATAGTCATTAAAGGAATATTATACAACAATTTTTCTGCCATGTCAGATACTTAATCTATCATTTTATTTACAGTGTTTGCTTCATCTTAATACTAAGATGCCAATGCCCTTACTCATTGGCATCATTAAAACATTGCAACTCTGGAGAAATAAAGGAATAACCAACTGTTTAAAGGGATCATTAAATGACTTGGTGTCACAGTAAATAAATAATTTGTTTAGAAATCAGTAGTTTTAAAACAAGTGTGCATTGTGCATTTAAAGTTCTAAACATCTTGTGAAATGCAAGAGGTCTGTGCAGTATCAAATTGCCAGAAGAATTCTAAGGTTATTTCAAGTATATAATTTTAAATAGTGTTTACAGAGTCTTATATACTTAATTGTTCCACCAGCTTCACTAGCGGAGGTTCCAGTTTTCGGGAAAGTGCAGTTAAAATCTGGTTGAATTTCTCATATCTTTCACTTTGATTAACTTGTGCTCCTTTGCTGCCCCAGAGCAATCTCATTTGAAATTCTGTCTTGAAGATTTCACTCAGCTCTTCATCTGGCTGGAAACCTAGTAAGTAAAAAGAATCCCACAATACCACCATCAGGCAGATGCTTTTTATTCTGTAAAAATGGCTTTTAAACTGTATTCTCCCCAAATAAGCTTTAGTGTGCTGCATTCCTTTTGCAGAGTGATTTTCACAAGCTAGTAAAACACTGAAAATCCTTTCCATCTTTGACATTCTAGTAGCACACAGATGGCTCTAGGGACACTGGGACAGGCTATCCTTTGTTCATTTCTAATGTTCTAGAATTGTCATTATAGCCTGACCTTAAATATCATTACTGATGTATACATGCTGCATGCAGAAATGGTTATATTTCACTCCCTTAACTTTTCCACTGCAAGTTTAAAAAAAAAAAAAATCACATTAATTTGTAGCTGTTTTCTGGCTGTAAGCAGTCAGGATCTGAGTGTTGCATCTTGCACTGCTGTAAAGAATCTTGTTATCACGGGTGGTGTTTTATTTGCAATAATCAGAATAGGAATTCTAAATTGTACAGAAGACAGGAAGTTATCCTCAGTCCTTACTGTACCTCTATTCAGTTGCTAGAAGGGTCAGCATATTAACTTTGAGAACTTTGAGTATGTTTAGCAAAAATGCTTGTTGGAGAACTATAGTGATGAATAATTTACTGGCTGCTTTTAAACAATATTGATGTTGTCCTCAGGCTGAGTTTCCTGCAGGACATTTGCTGCTATCTCAGCTCCTGTCAGAGAGGAGAGGAATTTCTCACACAGACTTGTGGTGGCCCTTATGCAGAGACACAACCCCCCGTGCTGTTGCTGAGCAGCAGCTTCTCGTACCTTGCAGCGCCTGCTCCGCAGCCCGGTGGAACCTCTGCGCGTGCTGCGCTATCGCACGGGCCGTGGCCAAGTGCCGCAGCATTATCTCACCACTCTGGTCAGTGCTCTCCCACAGCTCCCTGCCTTCAAAAACAACAGCTTGACGCTCCATCAAGGTAAGAAGAGGCATCAGCAGTGGCACTGTTATGTTGTTCTGCGGAGCACTGATGGTCTCTGGGATAGAGGGTAACAAACACAGCATCAGACATTAAAACCTGCTAGTTGAAGAAGGTATTGTAACTGACAGTATTCTTCTTTTAAGGTGGAAAGTACGGTTTGTCTTCCATCTTTCAAATTATCACCTTACCTCACATACACCTGTCCTACCAGTTTCCAGCGAACTGGTTGGGGGAGAAGACCAAGACAAATTAGTGATGGAAAGCTCTATTTGCTACAGGAGAAGGCTCTGCTGAATTACTACAGAGCAGCACAGAGATTTTAAACACATTTTTTTAAAAATAGATTTTTTAAAAACATTTTCAAAATCTGGGTCATTCCAGTAAATTCCATGAGGCTAAAAAGTTTTCACTGTCTACCCATTCTCTTGTAGAAATGTTCTGAGAAATGTTTTTCTCTGCCTTGCACCCCTTTAAAAACTAGAGCTCCAAAGAATTGGGTGCAGGAGCACTTGAAGTAATCAGAGTAATTGCCTAGCTGATTCTTTCTATTTGAGGATTCATCTTCTGATCCAACAGGCAAACAACTAAAAAGCACAATCTGCCACAATTAACTCTCCTGTGAGGAAGGAGATCTTTTCTTGTCCTTGAGGGAAGATGATGCAGTGTTTCAGTTTCTGTCCACAAAGAGGAAGTATGGGTGTGGAAAGAATGTTATATTCTGCAGGGATACAGGCACACAAACACACACTGATGTTTGGTTGGCAGACTGTTAGCTTCTGTTTCCTTGTCATGTTGCATTATACCAGTTTACACAGTCATTTTAACACCCAGTGCACAGCTGTGGAAAGAGCAGCTGCCTCATCTCCCTACACAGAAAATCAGTAGTGGGAGAGGTAAAAGGCTAAAGAGAAACCAGTGTCACTCATACTCACTATTCCACTCATCCTGTCCTTCATGCAAAGCTTTGCAAGATGGTTTCAGCTGTTTTTCATACATAATGGCAGTCTGGGTATAACGATGTCTTAGAGCAGTCCAGGTTTGTTCTAATCTGCTGACCTGTTCAAACAAAATAGGGAATACCCATTAGTGACTCCACAGCACTCCACAGGAAATGTACACTGTTAGTCACAGAATCATGGAATAGTCATGAAGACTCTGTTCTGATGATCTCTCTAGTCTTGAAGAAGTTGCTTAAATTAAATAAACCCATCAAACAATTCCACATTTTGGAACATAAAGAGAAACAGATTTTTACCTGTGGCATTTCTAGCGCTTTCATAATGGCAGAAAACGCATATAAATCCCCCAGTGAGTCCTTCAGCTCCACAGCAACTTGGATGATTCTGTTTAATGTTGCTGCTCTATCTTCCACATTTCCTGTGCAACCCAAGATATCCACAGCTATTCCTATTGCCATGGTATTGTGCCTGTAAGTGGATCAATTTATAGGACTGGTTACAAATTATTAAATTTACATGCATTCAGAGATCAGTTCAAAAGTATATTTCTACCTTGGTGTGCCCAGCAAACTTAAGTCTTTACCAACATCTTTGCATCAAAAGCAATAGTGACATCATATGGAATATATACACACAAGCTTTAAATTAATATTTTAACTTCTAAAATACTAGGAACTACACAAAATTCTGCTCAAGCAATGAATGAATGAACACTTTTGGGAAAATTGCCCCACTTGTCTTTGTCCTCTATGCTCAAATCCTGTGACATTCCCTCCTAGATTTCAGCAATCAAAATACCAAAATATGAAGCAGAAATTGTACATCAGGGTTAGAACACCCCAAGTGGTCCCCCTTAACTTGTGCAGAGGTTTTACAGAAAGCTTTGCTGATCATTTTTACTTTATTAGATCCTCTGGTCTCTACCCAGTTGCAGAAGGCTACTACCTTTCAATCTCCTCCATGCACACTTACATGCTCAGATAGATTCCTGAATTTTAGTTAATACTTGAGCTTGTAAAGGGGAGCTGATGGCATTCAGCTGCTCCAGGGACCCTGCTTTCAATGCCATTCCCCTTTCTTTCCCTGTACTACATGCGTAGAGTTGCCTTAAAACCTTCAAGAATTTCCTATGCAAAAAGAAGTTATGTGCCATCTCACTAAATAATCTGTACATGTGAATTCAGGAAACATGCAGGAGAGCATTCTTTGAGGAAATGAAGAGTAGAGTGTAGCCATGCTCTGAGCTTCTGGCCATCTGCCCTGGAAATGAGTAACAGGAACCTTTACCTTTCAATGAGATCAAGGCGCAGCTGATGTCCGTAGGGCAAGGTAATCAGTTCAAGACCAGAGCTCCCTCCCATACTCCTCCTCATCTCTTCAGAAACTTCTACTATCCTTGCCACCTGTCAAGGGCAAAAAACTGTGCATGAATTTTGAAACTAACTTTCTTCAAAAACCCCCCCAGCCACAGAGAAGTCCAGGTTAGCTAAGTGCACAAAATGCAACATTAGAATACAGGCATCAAAGGAAAAATCAACTTGGGCACATTCAGTCTTACACAAAAAGGTCAGTAAAATACTTTTTTTACATTATTCAGTCATCAGAAAACAAAAGGTGAAACCAAAATGCTTTATCAGGAAGCAGAGGATGAAGTTCCAGGAAATACAGCACTCTCAGCCTGGTCCTTGTCAGAGAGGCAGTGCTCTTTGGCCTTAAAGATGTACACACTTGCTTTGC